TGAGATGGAGTCTCACTCTGTCACCCAGGCTGAAGTGCAGTGGCACGATCTCGGCTCACTGCAAGCTCCGCCTCCCGGGTTCACGCCATTCTCCTGCCTCAGCCTCTCGAGTAGCTGGGACTACTGGAGCCCGCTACCACGCCCGGCTAATTTTTTTGTATTTTTAGTAGAGACAGGATTTCACTGTGTTAGCCAGGATGGTCTCTATCTCCTGACCTCATGATCTGCCTGCCTCAGCCTCCCAAAGTGCTGGGATTACAGGTGTGAGCTACCGCGCCCAGCTGTCTGTAGCTTTTTCATTTGGTTCCCTGGCTAGGTCCTTAAGGACAGGCAGGGTGAGACAGAGGGTGTCTCCTCCTCCAAATGATAAATGGCCTCTCCTTCTTGACCCTTCCCTGTTGTCCCTCACAGCAGGAGTCTGTACAGAGGTTATGGCCACTGGTCAGCTATTCGGAAGGGCAGAACGACAAGGGAACTGTTGTGGCATCAAGATGGGGGCTTTGAAGTGGATTCAAAGTCTTTTTGACTTTGCTGGTGGTCGCTGGCAAGGGAAAGGGTCAAGTTCCTCACTCTCTCATGGTGGTATTGTGCTGCGTCATCCTCTAGAGGGCGCCGGTTCTCTTCTCCGGGGTCTTCTCCGCCTTCTGGTCGCCTTTGATGAAAGAATATATGACCACAAGGTGGCGTAGCACAATAAGGGTTATTATTATTCTATGCCCCAATCACAGAATAGACAGCCAGGCTTGATGTGGCTAGTATGAATGAGAGACCTACCCTCTGGGCCGTGTGCTGGCGAGAAGCGAGCAAGCCCAACATGGGTCCCCTGGTTTGGATTCAAGAGGACAGCCCCCTCCTTTGGAGTCCTGGTTGAGACAACAATATAAACATCTTGTCTTTAGTCACCTGAAGTAACAGTTTTGCCCCACCTCAACAAATCTGGGGTCTTGATATTGCTCCGGAAAGGAACAGAAGTGACGTCGTCTGTAATAGCAAATTCAAATGCGACAAGAGCAGAGGCATGCTAGCTGTTTACAAAAGCGCCTCCCCCAGCTGTGCTTAGGGAATCCACGTCAGCCCGACGTTGCTGCCTTAGAGCCTTGTTCACGTGTCATATGCGTCTCAGAGTACCCCAAATCACAGGGCCAACTCACGGGGCTCCTCCCACTCTAGCCAGTCATGGGGTCAGGATAGCCCACCCTCAGTCCAGAGATGTGTACTCCCCCCATCTTTTGTGTTCAGACCCACAGGCCTTATAGTGTCCTGTGGGTGCCCCAGCAGTTCCCTGCCTAGTGGGGCCCCAGGCTGGTAGGGTGACCTCCTTCCCCAGGCAGTTCCACACCTGATCCCAAAAGTCAGTTCTAATGAAGTGGATTCATTCAAATACTGGTGTTACTGCTTAGCCAGGCTAGTGAGGCACAGAGAAAACCCACAAATGTAGAGTATGGGACACAGCACAGAGCAATCCCATGCCAAACTGATGTAATGGCATTCCAAGTTTTGAGTTCCACCGCTTGAGACCATCCAGGATTGTTTTACTAATTAATTGCCCTACTGTCTCCTATCTATTTCATGATTACCAGAAATCCTTCCCTTTTCCTCCTTGTCACTTACAGGGATTTTGAACGATTTAGGGCATTGATGAAGGAAATATATGACCACAAGGTGGCATAGCATAATAAGGGTTATGGGGTGATTCTGTGACAGGTTTGCATGAAGTCCCTCACAGCAGGAGTCTGTACAGAGGTTATGGCCACTGGTCAGCTATTCGGAAGGGCAGAACAACAAGGGAACTGCTTGGGCATCAAGATGGGGTTTTATTTGTCTAGGTGATGTCACTCAGCAGCAAAGGGAAAAGTCTCTGGGTCAGAGAACTCTGAAGGGCGGCAGCAGCAGCTTTGGGTATTTTATGGCCTAGGGCCTAACTTATCTATTCCCCAAAGATGAAAGATGTAGTGCCAGGTTTTCTGGGGTATGTAAAGCAGGAAGGCTCTCAACAGGCTCTCAATGGATAAAAGTCTATTTGTTTGGGCTAATTATGAAATAATTGGGTGTGTAAAAATTTGTTTGGTGCCAGCAAACTTTTGAGTTAAGGGGTCTCAGCCTGCAGTGAAGAAATAAACAACCTGGGGGTCAATACGTAGAGACCATGTTTGGCTCATTTATATAACAGTGAAGGTGTAATTCATCCTAAGGTCCTTAGAAATTCTGGTATAAAAGTTTAAGGGTAGAGAGTTATAGGAACAAGATAAGGATGCCTGCTTTCGTCACTTCTATTAAAGATTGTACTCAAAGTTCTAGCCAGATAAATTTTCAGGCAAAAGAAAGAAAGAAAAGGTGCCCAAATTAGAAAGAAAGTAAAACTATTTATATTCCCAGATGATATGATTTTTATATATATAGAAAATCCTAAAGAATCCACAAAAAAAACTATTAGAACTCATAAACAAATCTTGCAAAATGGCAGAATACAAGATCAACACACAACTATCAATTGCTTTTCTATACACTATCAATGAAAAAGCCAAAACGGAAATTAAGATAACAATTTTGTTTACGATAGGATAAAAAGAATAAAATACTGAGAAATAAAGTTATCCAAGCAGATGCAAGACCTGTACAAAACATTGCTGAAAGAAAGTAAAGAAGGCCAGGTGCAGTGGCTCACGCCTGTAATCCCAGCACTTTGTAAGGCCGAGGCAGGTGTTCAAGACCTGAGGTCAGGAGTTCAAGACCATCCTGGCCAACATGATGAAACTCTGTCTCTACTAAAAATACAAAAAAAAAATTATCCAGGTGTAGTGGTGGGCGCCTGTAATCCCAGCTACTCAGGAGGTTCTAAGGCAGGGGAATTGCTTGAACCTGGGAGGTGGAGGTTACAGTAAGCCAAGATCACACCATTGTACTCAGCCTGGGTGACAGAGCGAGACTTCAAAAAAAAAAAAAAAAAAAAAAGTAAGGAAAACTAAATAAAAGGAAAAACTAAATAAAAAATAAAACTAAATAAAAGGAAAGTGTTCATGGATAGTTAAGGAAAACTTAACATTGTTAAGATGGCAATACTCCCCAAAGCAACCTACATATTCAATGTAATCGCTAGCAAAATCCCAAATCCCTTTTGTGCATAAAGGGGAAAGTTAATCCTAAAATTTATATGGAGCTGCAAGAGTCCCTGGATAGCCAAAACAATCTTGAAAAAGAAGAACAAAGTTGGAAGACTCACACTTCCCTATTTCAAAACTTACTGCAAAGGTACAGTAATCAAAACAGTGTGGTGCTGGCACCAGGATAAACATATAGATCAACGGAATAGAATTGAAAGTCCAGAAAAAAACCCGTGCAGCTCAAATGATTTTTGATTAGGGTGCCAAGATCATTTAATGGGGAAAGAATAGTCCCTTCAACAGATGGCACTGGAAAAAATAGATATCCACATGTAAAAGAATGAAGTTGTACCATAACCCCATACCATATATAAAAGTTAACTCAAAATGGATCAAAGACCTAAATATAAGAACTAAAACTGTAAAATAACTAGAAGAAAATGAAGGAATAAATCTTCATGACTTTGGACTTGGCAATTGTTTCTTAGATATGATACCAAAAGCATAAGGAACAAAATTAAAAAATGAATAATTTGACTTAATAAAAATGAAAACTTTTGTGTATCAAATGACATTATCAGGAGAATGAAAAGACAACCCAGAGAATGAGAAAATTATCATCTGATAAGGGTATCCAGAATATATAAAGAACTCTTACAATCTAATAACCAAAAAATCCCCAGTTAACACTGGGCAAAGGACTTGAATATATATTTTTCCAAATAAGATATACATGATATACACATGGCCAATAAGCTCATGAAAAGATTTGTTATTAGTCATCAGGGAAATTCAAATCAAAACCACAATTAGATACCACTTTACATCTGCTAGGATGGCTACAATAAAAACCAACAAAACAACAAGTGTTAGAGAGGATGTGGAGAAATTGGAACCCTAATACACTGTTGGTTGGAAAGTAAAATGGTACAGCCACTGTAGGAAACAGTTTGGTGTTTCCTCAAAAAGTTAAACATAGAAATACTATATGATCCAGCAATTCCACTCCTAGTTATATATGTAATAAAATGGGAAACAGGTAGGTATTCAAACAAAAACTTATCCACCAATGTTCATAGCAGCACTATTCATAATAGCCAAAAGGTAGAACAGCTCAAATATCTATCAACTGATGAGTGGGTAAACCAAATAGGGTATAGTATATCCATACAATGGAATATTATTCAGCCACAGAAAGGAATGAAGTACTGTTACTGATTAACCTTGAAGACGTTATGCTACATGAAAGAAGCCAGACACAAAAGACCACATAGTGTATGATTCTACTTATATGAAATAGCCATAATAGGCAAATCTATAGCACCAGAAAGCAGATTAAGTGGTAGCCAGGAACTGGGAGGGAAAGGGGAATAGAGAATGATTGTTTAATGGGGATGGGGTTTCCTTTTGGGGTGGTGAAGACGGTCTGGAATTAAATAGTGGTAATGGTTGCACAATACTGTGAATGTCTTAAATGGCACTGAATTGTACAATGTAAAATAGTTAAAATAGCTAAGTTTCACGTTATGTGTATTTTACCACAATAAAAAAAAAAAGGTGTTTATATGAGGTACAAGATGTGTGAACGGTGGCCATGAAGCAGAATGAATGAAAGCAAATGGCAGTGTGACTGAATGGGGGGAAATTGGGGGCACCGTGGGAGAGAATAGATGTGAATGATTGGTAGAGTGGGAAGGAGTAGGAGCCATGAGGGCAGAGTGAGCTGGAAGGGGAGTGACGGTGTTACTTTATATCTGAATGGGTCCTGTGCTCCTGGAAAGCAGTCATGGTTACAAAATTCTCCCAGCTCCCAGCTCCCTTTGGGGTTCCAGCAAAGGGCTAACTTTAAAAGTCTCTGGATTACCTGCTCGGGCTACCATAATAAAATGCCACAGACTGGATGGGTTAAACCAGAAGTTTATTTGGCATAGTGCTGGAGGCTGGGAGAAGTCCAAGATGAAGAAGCCAGCTGATTTGGTTCCTGGTGAGGGTTCTCTAAAAAGAAAGCCATAAGGCTTGCAGACAACTGCCTTCTTACTCTGTTCTCACATCACCTCTTTTTTGTGCAAATGGAGAGAGAGTGAGCAAATTCTTGGACGTCTGTTTTTAAAAGAGCACTAATCCCATTACACCAAGGCCCCACCCTCATGACCTCATATAGCCTTAATTACCTCCCAAAGGCCCCATCCTCAAATACCATCACATTGAGAGTTTGGGCTTCAACATACGAATTTGGGGGGTGGGGGAGGGGCGCAATTCAGTCTATAGTAGTCCCTAACGTATCTGCATATTCTGAGATAAGACCTATTTCTATCTGTCCTGATGACTCAAGGATGGACTCCTTTGCTTACCTGCCTCTATACAACCCGAGGTCTCCTTCCTTGTCTTTGGGATGTTCCTCATTAAGGAAAGTTTTCCCTATTGCAATAGCCTGAAAGGGCTCACCTGTACATTTTCTTTCAGGTGATCAATTGGTAGAATGTGATTAATAGGGCAGAGTGTTTGAGGTCCGGAACCTGATCACTGTCTGTCTCCCGGTTATTCCCCTAGGCCTCAGGGAGGCCCCATAGGACTGGGACTCTGGAATCTCCGCCCTCTCAAATCTCTCTGCAACAGGTTACCCGGAGGAGGATGGAATGTAGGCCTGGCGGGGTCACAATCAGATCTGTCTTCTCACCTAGTCTCCGACTAAGATTCCACCTCACCCGGGCCCCTTTATCCCTAGGCTTCTGTCTCCAACTCTCCCTGCGCCTATGTTTACCAATGTCACTTTCTTCACGTTTCTTTCTCCGAGGACAGATTGTACCACACCTCCCTATTTGCACCAGTGGTATCTTCCACAACGGACTGTACCAACCTGAGCCTTCGCCACCGCTAGGTTAATGGTATTTATCTCCCTACTGTTATTTTCTTGAAAGAACTACCAGCTCCACACGTTCTCCCTGTCTGCCCAGTGATACTGACCTGTGGAGGGAGGAATGTATTTTCACCGACTCTGCATCCTTTCTCCCCGGCGATAGGTACCAGGGAGGTCCGTACCATTTCAGGCCTCCCCCATCTCCTCAGTGGTATCTCCCAGCGGAGGGGTCTGTGGTCCTGAACTCTGTATTTTTACACACCCGTTCTCTTTTAACCTCCCCATACACGCCCACAATTTGCCCGTCACTAACTTTGCACAAAGGGCCCCCCTTTTATCGCCAAGTCTTCAAAGTCCTCTCGGAGTTCTGTCTTTTCCAAACCTTAAGAGGCATATTACTCTCCTGTACGGAAAGGTAAGGGCTCTAAAGATGCCTGCTCCCTTGACAAGCTGGTTTACTGGCACGGCCATTTTTCTTACCAGCCAAAGACGTACAATCATTGCAGTTAAGGAACAAAAAAGTTTTGGTGTTCTATAGCACTGTTCGATAACTATAGTTAGCAATAATTTATTGTACATTTTAAAATACCTAGAAGAGAAGATTTTGAATATTCCCAACGCAAAGAAATGATAAATATTTGAGGTGATGCACATGCTAATTACCCTGATTTGATCATTACACATTGTATGCGTGTATTGAAATAACCACTCTGCACCCCACAAATATGTACAATTTTTATAAATTTAATCCTTAAAGAAAACCACAAAACAACTTTGGCTGCTAGTGCCAATGGCTTTGGGAACGGTACTGCACATGAGCAAGTATAGTGACTGGCAGTACCTAATGCAGGGTAAAGGTCGGAAAAAGGTGGCTGTCAGAGGAAGTTGTGACTGATTTTGGAAACACAAGGGGACCTTGCCCGAATAGGAATTCAGATCTTAACATCAGAGCAGGGTATGAGGCAGGGCAGAGTTCACATAGAACGGAAGTGAGAGGGCTGGTGGTCTGCGGGCAGAGTCGTCATTTAACCTCTTTGTGCCTTAGTTTCCCTAACTGTAAAATGGGGATGATGATGTTAATGATAATAATAGTAATACCTGCCTTGTATGGTTGTTGTGTATATCAATTGAGTCAATGTAAGTGTTTACAACAATGCCTAGCACATACATGAGTTTAATATTATTATATTATTATTAATACCATAAAATGGATACATATAAACACATAAAAAGGAATACGGAAGTAGAGCAAAACCAGGGCCAGGCTGAAGTGTCTATATATATATATATCATAGGATTCTACATAATTATGTTGAGCTACAGTTATTTTTCTGAGCTTCATAGAAGCCACAACGTAGAGGGAGAAAAAGCTCATTTGCTTTCTTTATCTCACCCATACAGAGAAAGTAAGCCACTTCCTCAGAAGCAAAGATTTCCTTGATAAGACAGTTCTCTGATACATCAGCCAAGTCCCTTATCAGCAATCTTGTGATAAATACAGGGATAGGATTGCTCTGCTGTGACTTAAAATATGTCTTCATGTCAACCAAAGGTGTCCTGCTAAAGCAGAACTAAAAAGATGTGACTCTTCAGGAAATCAAAGTCATGTCTGCATAAATAGCTCTTATGTTCTGGCTCAATATATGGATAAAACCTTGATCATCAGAAAGAATCAGTAAACCCTATGCCCTTCAAATTCTTTTCTAATCTATGTGTAGTTTTTCCACATCTGGGGTTTCAGTACAGCCTGAGCAACCCGAAGGTCTGCCCTTTTCCTTTTTAGCCTCAGAATTCATGATGTCCCTAAGCATGTTCAGTACTTTCCCTTCTGCCCTTTTTAAGAAAGTCTATATTATTTTGTCATTTTTTTCTCTTGCTACAGAAGTGATTTAGAAGTGGCACACCAAAAATCCAAACTCTTGAGGAATATGCAATCTAAAAGGGGAAATTCACTTATAATCCCGTATCATCACTCATTCCAAATAATCAATTTCTGATGAATTTGGTTCATTTCCACCTATACACCTCTCTCTCCCCCTTGTTGTTTCTCTTTGTATTTACATACACATATAAATATATATGGATATAAATGTCTTCCTTTTGCTAAAATCTGCTCATTAGGTAGAACTGTTTTGTCATTGCATTTGCCCTTTCCAGAATAATATTAATGATGGTCACAGTAGTAATGATAATGATAATACAAATGATAATGATAATAGAAGTGACACAACAGGAGCCGACATGTAGTGAACTCACGCTGCACCTGACACCTTACTAAGCATTATATATGCATGATCACTTTTAGTTCTCATAATGACCTTAGGAAGTAGGTACCATTGTTATCTACCTCTTACAGATAAGGAAGCTGAGTACCAGAGTGGATAAGCAGATGGCATGGGCTTGCACAGCTGCTCACTGGAACTTAGAGCTGGAATAGCCCTGACTTAACGAACACTTGTTGATGGAAGGTATTTCAGTATCAGGACATAGTGATATTTTTAAGAGATGCTTTTTTTTTTCTTGTATGCATGTATCATGATTTATTAATCAGCCCCATATTGAAGGACTTCTATGTAATTTCTGCTACAGTGTGGCAGTGATCTCTCTTGTGTTTTTCTTTAACTTTTATTTTAGCTTCAGGAGTACATGTGCGAGTTTGTTATATAGGTAAACTCATGTCACGGGGATTTGTTGTACAGGTTATTTCATTGCCAAGGTACTAAACCCAATGGTTATTTTTTTAATCCTCTCCCTCCTCCCACCCTCCACCTTCAAGTAGGCCCCAGTGTCTGTTGTTCCCCTCTTTGTGTCCATCAGTTCTCATCATTTAGCTCCCACTTGTAAGTGAGAACATGCCATTATTTAGTTTTCTGTTCCTGTGTTAGTTTGTCAAGGATAATGGCCTCCAGCTCTATTCATGTTGCTGCAAAGGACATGATCTTGTTCTTTTCAAAATTGTTATTATTATTTTTTGTAGAGACGAAGTCTAGAGATGAGGTCTTGCTATGTCGTCCAGGCTGATCTTGAACTCCTGGGCTCACATGATCCTCCCACCTTGGCCTCTTAAAGTGCTGGGATTACAGGCATGAGCCAGTGCGCCTGGCCTGATCTCATTCTTTTTGATGGCTGCATAGTATTCCACAGTGTATAAGCACCACGTTTTCTTTGTCCAGTCTACCATCGATGGGCATTTAGGCTGATTCCATGTCTTTGCTATTGTGAATAGTGCTGCAATGAACATATGCATGCATGCGTCTTTGTGGTAGAACAATTTATATTCCTTTGGCTATATACCCAGTAATGAGATTGCTGGGTTGAATGGTAATTCTCTCTTTAGCTCTTTGAAGAATTGCCACGCTGCTTTTCACAGTGGTTGAGTTAATTTACATTCCCACCAACAGTGTATAAGCATTCCCTTTTCTCTACAACCTCAGCAGTATCTGTTATTTTTTTTATCTTGTCATCTATCTTTGTACACAGTGGTGAGCATTTCTAGAATGTCTGGTTCAAAAGGTGGGCACGTTTTGAACTTTCATAGACATTGCCAAATTGCCTTTTGAAAAGTTAGTTCAAGTTGACACCCCCCACTAATAATGAATGAAAATACCCTTTCTAATCTTTTTGTCATGGTTTTAATCCTTGCCATTTGATAGTTGAAAATATCTCATTTCTTTTGTGTGTGTTTGTCAATGAAGTTGAGTATCTTTTCATATTTTTTTCCTTTTATATTTCTTTTGTGAATCATTCACAAATGCTACTTTTTTTTCTGTGGGAGTTTTAAATCTTTCTCTTACTTTTTTTTTTTTTTGAGACGGATAGCTCTTGTTGCTCAGGCTGGAGTGCAATGGCGCGATCTCAGCTCACTACAACCTCCCCCTCCCAGGTTCAAGTGATTCTCCTGCCTCAGCCTACGAAGTAGCTGGGATTACAGGCATGCGCCACCACACCCAGCTAATATTTTTTGGATTTTTAGTAGAGATGGGGTTTCACCACATTGGCCAAGCTGGTCTCGAACTTCTGACCTCGGGTGATCCACCTCCCTTGGCCTCCCGAAGTGCTGAGATTATAAGCATGAGCCACCATGCCCGGCCTTTTTCTTTTCTTTTCTTTTCTTTTTTTTTTCTTTTTTTTTTTTTCAGGCAGAGTCTCATTCTGTTGCCCAGGCTGGAGTGCAGTGGCGCAATCTTGGCTCACTGCAACCTTTGCCTCCGGGTTCAAGCCATTCTCCTGCCTCAGACTCCTGAGTAGCTGGGATTATAGGCACGTGCCATCATGCCCTGCTAATTTTAGTAAAGACAGGTTTTCACCATGTTGGCCAGTCTGGTTTCGAACTCCTGGCCTCATGTGATCCACCTGCCTCAGCCTCCCAAAGTGCTGGGATTACAGGTGTGAGCCACTGTGCCCGACCCTCTTACTGTTTTTTAAAACCTTTTAGGGAAAACTAACTTAAATGAAAATGTTTTGGGTCAGACCTTTTATTGAAGCAGAACATACAGAAAAAAGCGTATAAAGTATACAGTTTAATGAACTTCTGCCAAGTGAAAACACCTTTGTAACCCATACTTGGATCAAAAAGCAGGAAATGACAAGCCACCCAGAAGCCTTCATCATGCCACTTCCAATCACTATCTCTTGATTCACTAACGACTTTCTGATTTCTACCACCATAGATTATTTTTCCCAGTTCTTGAATGTCATATAAATGGAATCATACATTATTGTTCTTTTGGATCTGGCTTCTTTTACTTACCACAATGTTTTTGAGATCCATCCTTGTTACTTTATCTGTCAGTAGTTTGTTCTTTTTCCATACTATTCACTATTCCTTTTGTATAAACATATCACAATTGTTAATCCATTCCCCTGCTGGTGGATATTCCATTTTAGCTATTACAAATAATGCTTCTGTGAGTATTCTTGTGCATGCCTTGGTGAACATACGTGTGCATTTCCACTGGATATATACCTAAGAGTGGAGTTGCTGAATCCTAGGTTAGGTGCATCATCTACCTCTTGCAGATAAGTTAGATAAACTAACTTAGATGTTAATTTAGATGTTCAGCTTTATTAGATTCTACCAATCTGTTAAGTGCCTATTTACTTCCACCGACAATGTATGAGAGCTTCAGTTGCTCTACATCCAGCCAACATTTGGAGGGAAATTGGAAGGGTTGAACAGATCCAGGATTTAGGGGGAGAAAGACTCAAGTAGAATGCAGATAGCCGGGCCTGGTGGGGTGGCTCATGCCTGTAATCCCAGTACTTGGGGAGGCCGAAGCGGGCAGATCACGAGGTCAGGAGTTTGAGACCAGCCTGACCAACATGGTGAAACACCGTCTCTACTAAAAATACAAAAATTAGCCAGGCATGGTGTCAGGTGCCTGTAATCCCAGCTACTTTGGAGGCTGAGGCAGGAGAATCGCTTGAAACCAGAAGGCGGAGGTTGCAGTGAGCCGAGATCATGCCACTGTACTCTAGCCTGCATGATGGGAGCAAAACTCCGTCTCAAAAAAAAAAAAAAAAAAAAAAAAAAAAAAAAAAAAAAAGAAAGAAAGAGAGAGAGAGAAAGAAAGAAAGAAAGAAAAAGAATTCAAAAAGCCTTTCAGGAAAGCTGAAGATTGTTGGTCCTAATTTTAGCTTTCTGTTGGCATATAGTGGTATCTCATTGTGGTTTAAGTTTGCCTTTCTCTGATGACTAGTGATGGTGAGCACCTTTTTATATATGTATTGGCCATTTGGATATTCTCTTTTGTGAATTACCTGTTAAATCTTTTTTTCTGGTTTTTCTATTGGATTATCTATCTATATTTATCTTATTGTTTGTAGGAGTTCTTTATAGTTTCTATAGTATAAAAGTCCTTTGCTATAGATAGGTATTGCAAATATCTCAGCAAAGCCATTGTTGAAATGAAATATTTCATTTCAAATGAAAAAGTCCTTTTTGAAATGAAATATTCTCTCTGAAGAATATGTTCTTTATTTTTGAAAGTATTATCATTTTGATTTTTATCCAACCTATTGAATAGAAGCATTCAATTACAGGGATCATGTCATTTGATGATGTGGCTGTGGATTTCACCCAGGAGCAGTGGAATTGACTGGTCCTCCTCAGAGGACCCTGTGATGCTAGAGAACTATAGAGAGATATAGAGATGTGATACTATGGAACTTTAGCCATCTGGTCTCTGTGGGTGAGGATGGCTTCCCTGAGTAATTCATGGTATATCTAGTAGAATAACTTTCCATCTCTGAAGTGCTTCAATATTTTGACCTCAGGTTCTAGGGATTAAAGATTCTTAATCCCACCTAGACTGAACAATGTGTTTCTATTTTCATCTCCCATGTGAAATTTACCCTCGTGAATATGTACCTTTCTAACTTTTTGAGATCCCAAAGCCCACACAGACGTGCCCAAGTCTTGTATCATTTTCTGTTACAGGGTATCCTGTGACCAAACCAGATGTGATTGCCTCTTTGGAGGAGGGAGGACTTTGGATCACAGACAGAGAAGTCCCAAGTTTGAGTTGTACAGATAAGAAAGAAATGAGCAGGCCAGGCACAGTGGCTCACGCCTATAATCCTAGCACTTCGGAAAGCTGAGGCAGGCGAATCACTTGAGGTCAGGAGTTTGAGACCAGCTAGGCCAACATGGTGAAACCCCTTCTCTACTAAAAATGCAAAAATTAGCTGGGTGTGGTGGCCACACCTGTAGTCCCAGCTTCCTGGGAGGGTGAGGCACAAGAATCGCTTGAACCCAGGAGGCGGAGGTTGCAGTGAGCTGAGATCGCACCTCTGCACTCCAGCCTAAGTGACAGAATGAAACTTTGTCAGAAAGAAAGAAAGAAAAAGAGAGAGAGAGAGAGAGAGAGAAAGAAAGAAAGAAAGAAAGAAGAAAGAAAGAAAGAAAGAAAGAAAGAAAGAAAGAAAGAAAGAGAGAGAGAGAGAGAGAAAGAAAGAGAGAAAAGAAAGAAAGAAGGGAAGTGATGAGAAGGATACTGCAGTGGGTCAGTGAGGGCTGGACATCTTTGAAAGCTCAGAAATATCTTCTTAAAGGATATTGCTAACTGCAAATTGTTAGTTTTGTGAGCTATTGTCTCACAGTAATGTTGGAGTGAGATGGTGAAGAGCTAGCCTCACCACAATCTGGCCTCGTCCTTCTGCTTATTCTCTTGTTCACCTCAATTGCTTCCAGCTTTCCTAAAAGGCTCTTTGCGTTCTGTTTGAGTCCTTCTCCCCACAAATCCTGGATATGGTACACTTCTAATCTCCCTTTCTCCTGCTCATGGCTCCCTAAACCTATTTTTGCCTTCTCTCCTTTATTTTAGTTTTATTTATTTATGTAATTTTGAAGCACAATTTCACTCTGTCACCCAGGCTGGAGTGTAGTGGCATAATCTCAGATCACTGCAACCTCCGCCTCTTGGGTTAAAGTGATTCTCATGCCTCAGCCTCCTGTGTACCTGGAATTACAGGTGCATGCCACCACACATGACTATTTGTGTGTGTGTGTGTGTGTGCGCTTGCGCACGTGTGTGTGTGTTTGTGTTATTAGTAGAGACGGGTTTTTGTCATGTTGGCCAGGCTGGTCTCGAACTCCTGACTTCAAGTGATTCACCCGCCTTGGCCTCCCAAAGTGCTTAGAGGCATGAGCCACTGTGCCTAGCCTCTCCCCAGTTTTAAAGTATTTTTCTTAAATAATAAAATTCGCTTATATTTATCATCGCTTTCCCATTCCAATTTCTTTTACAGCAACTTGGGTTTTGTTTGTTTGTTTGTTTTTTCTCAAGCTCAGAGTGTAGGAAAGAAATGTACTTGGAATTTCTTTCTGACTGGTACATAGGCTTGAAAGAAAAGTCAGTCCCACCAGAGACCTGCTTCTGACAAAGTTGTATTCATAGGCTAGAGTATGGATTTATTATTATTCTTTCTAGAAGCCTGGCAAGCTGATGACCAGCTAGAGAGGCACATCTTGAGGCCTTGAAGATATGAGGGCTGTCAGTTGGAAGCCAAACCTCACCATAAATCTAGCCGCGGGTATTAAGGGAAACCCAATTTAATTAATTACATAAGCATAGTCCTTGGAAATGATACTCAGGAAAAATGTCTCCAGATTTAATACCAAACTCTCACAGAAAAATTAATAAAATCTACTATTATTAAGAATCGCTGTTTTGTCATAATGGAGAATAAGTGCGATACAAGAACAAAAGGGTTTATCAAATGATAGGTAGCTACAGATTTAAAGATAGCCACTAAAGAACAGCAATTAAAAATATATTTTAGGCCGTGTGCGGTGGCTCACACCTGTAATCCCAGCACTTTGAGAGGCTGAGGCGGGTGGATCACCTGAGGTCAGAAGTTCAAGACCAGCCTGGTCAACATGGTGAAACCCTGTCTCTACTAAAAATACAAAAATTACCTGGGTGTGGTAGTGGGTGCCTGTAATCCCAGCTACTCAGGAAACTGAGGCAGGAGAATCGCTTAAACCCGGGAGGTGGAGATTGCAATGAGCCACTGCACTCCAGCCTGGGTAACAGAGCAAGATTCCATTTCAAAAAAAAAGAAAAAAGAAAAAGAAAAAAAAGAAAGAAAAGAAAAAGAAAGAAAAGAAGAAAAAAACAAGAAATCAGTATCCAAAGCGTTGGCACCCTTTATGGACCCACAGGGAGATGTGAGATTTGATTACCTAAGCTCGTTGGGGCACAAAGCAGGGGAAATCCAGTTGGCATTAAGGAAGGGGGCTCTGGCATTCCTTGGCATGCAGTGACAGCTAGCTGTTTTCATGATCATCCGTGATTATCTTGGTTGAAGTGAACACTTCAAAGCCTCAGGTACTTGAGTATCCACCCCAACCAAAGAGTACAAAGAACATGAGGGACTGCTTCCTTATGGGAGTGGCTGCTTCCAAAGGTGCTGGCCGTTGCAAAGAATGGCAAATTGAAATTCCTAAATTCTCTGCTCAAGACACAAAGTGAAACTCAGGCATTCTGTAAGAAGAAATTATTACCATGCATGTCCATTGAATGTTTTGCCTACATTCCCGCTCTGTCATTTGAAACTTCAGGCTTTGATCATGAAAGAGGGCCTGGGGGGCTGGAAAAATGGTGTTGTGTGGGAGGATGCGGGAAAATATACCTTTAACTCCTAATTCCCACTGAGCTTCCTGTGTAAGCACAATCCTTTTGGATTCATTCTCCCCTGAAGAGATTGTATCTGCCTTAAATAAAGACCCTGTAGTGACCTGAACTGAGAGTGAATTTTTTTTATTTTATTTTATTTATTTATTTATTTTTTGAGACAGAGTCTCGCTCTGTTACCCTGGTTGGAGTGCAGTGGCACGATCTCGGCTCACTGCAACCTCCACCTCCTGGGTTCAAGCAATTCTTCTGCCTCAGCCTCCTGAGTAGCTGGGACTACAGGTCCGTGTCACCACACCCGGCTAAATTTTTTTTGTATTTTTAGTAGAGATGGGGTTTCACCATATTTGCCAGGCTGGTCTCGAACTCCTGACCTCATGATCTGCCTGGCTTGGCCTCCCAAAGTACTGGGATTACAGGCGTGAGCCACCGCACCCTGCTGAGACTGATTCTTTTTAAGGGAAGCCAATTTTCATCTCTCCCATCCCACTCCATCTCCAAACCTATAACTGTCTTATGTACCAAGCACTTTATGCGTTTTACAAATATTAATTCATTTAATCCTCCCAATAACCCCATCAAGTAGTTACTATTATTATCATCCTTATTTAACAGATGAGGAAACTGAGGCACAGAGAAATTAAGTACCTCTTCCAAGGCTAGTAGGTGGTAGAGATGGTTTTTGAACCCAGGAGAACACATGCTCTTGATTCACAACACTATCCTCCCTTCCTTCCCCACCCTGAGTGGTCTGGTATTTCTTAATTAGAGCTTTGAATATATGGAGGAAGTGACAGAATACTGTGACGGAAGGGTACTTCCGGGCATTGAATAAATGAAGAGAGTCAGACATCACAGCATTTTTTGCATTGTTTATCAATACCATCCTTTATTAAATGCACAAGAGAAAGAAATGAAAGGAAAATAAAATCTGTCTCTTCGAATCTGAGTCATGGATGAATTTTCGGATCAATTTTCACGTTCATATCACACCCCTTGAGCCATTCAGATAAATCATGGCCAGAACAGTGCCGCCTCCAAGAAGTCCTGGGAAATGAAGGAAAAGAGAGAGCATGAAGTGGACAGGTTGATGGGGTGGCAGTGACACTATCCCTGGCTGCCCACAGTCCAGGTCATCCCCATGAACTTACCAGGCAGACAGCCCATTCTGTGAGGACACAATCTGCTTGGCACACATGATGTCATCCAGAATATGGCGATTGAGCAGGTCTGAGGGGGAAGAGAGGGACATGCTGATCTAGTGCATTGGGGATAGGGTAACAGTGAATGGAGGGCCCAGGGGTTTTGGGGTCTTTGGGGCCTGAAGAACCTCAACCACTATGTTGGCTGATTCTGGATGACCTTGATTCTCTTGTCAGTTGGTTATAAATGATCTTAATCACCATGTTAGCTGGTTCTGTACAACCTTAACTCATGTTGACTGATCCTGGATTATCTGGATGATCATGTTGGCTAGTTATGAATAATCCCAACCCCCATACTATCTGGTCCTGGACAACCTCAATTTCCATTTGGGCTGGCCCCAAATAACCTCAGTCTCCATTTTTTCCTGTCTTGGACAACCTCAACCACCATTTTGGCCAACACTGAACAACTTTAACTGCTATTCTATTTTGTCCTCAACAACACCAGTCTTATCTGGAAAGTTCTGTCATTTCTGCATGGAGGTTATCTGTTTCTGTTTCTAGAATCAGACATTTGCTTCTTTCCTCGGGGCCTGGGTAACTTCATCCCCAAATCAGGACAGTCTCTATCTCTATTCCACATGGAGGTAAGATTCCTGTTTCCTGAGTCTAAGAAAACTGCAGTGTCCTTTCTGGGTGAGGATTGGGAGCTCTGAGCTCTGAGCTCTTCTGTCCTAAACAACCAAAAGTTGCTCAGGCAACTTTTCTCCTTTTCCCATCACTTTTCTCTTGTTTCAGGAGATTATGGTTTAAACAACCTTGCCCTCCAAGTGTGGGAGAGTAGGGCCCAGCAGGGCTTCAGTGTGTCCCCAGTGCTGACTTACCATGACAATCCATGTGGCAGAGGTTCTTGGTGGGTGTAATGCCATTGTCACACCACCAGGCAGAATTCAGTTGGAAAATGCCATATTCACTGCTGCCATCAGGATTGTGGTCCACGAAGGCGGTGTCAAAGCCACTCTCATAATGAGCCATGCACAGCCCTGGGGCAGGGAGAAGGGAGGCAAGGAGTAGGTATAGAGCCTGGGAATAGGGAAGGATAGGATGGGGGGAGGACAGGGATGGTTGTCATCTCATTTGTGAGGGTGGTGATCTTGGTTTAGTGGTGGTGATGTTGGTGATTCTGGTGAGACGTCAGTGATGGTGGTAGCGATGGTATTCATGATGGTAACAGCAGTGATATTGATTGTAGTGATAGTGTTGATGGCAGAGATGGAGGTGATGGTTGTGAAGGCCATAATGGTGGTGGTGTTAGAGTTAGTTAAACTACTCAGCATAGTCAGTCAGGGAGTGACTCAAGGGCTCATGCCCTGGCCTGGAGAGGTGATAAAGGACAAGGGGGGTCTGGGTCTGAATGTGGTGGGTGGCTCAGGGGCAACTGGGATTCTCACAGTCTCCAATGCCGTAGCCCTTGTAGCCGTTCAGCCCTGCTCTCTCCAGTCTTGCCGCCAGCTCACAGCGTTCATAGATCTTGGCATCCACAGTGACAACCATCAGTGTGGCCAAGGTCACTACCACAGTGCCCCAGGCCTGCATTATGGCACCTGTAAGCCCTCCCAGGTGACTTGCTCCAGACTCACCCTGCGGTGTTCGGAATTAGGGGCATTCTGGAACTCTGGGCTCTATGAGCAAAGGTCTAAGTGGTAGATTCTGGAACACAGAGCACAGAAGCCTAAACACCTCCCAACACTGTTGCATTGGGGATTAAAGGCCCTACCTCCCAACACTGTTGCATTGGGGATTAAGTTTCTGACATCTGAATTTTGGAAGGGACATATTCAAACCATAGCACTCATCCTTGGTTGAGTCATCTCTGCACTTAAAGTGCTGTTCCATCCTAATTTACTGGAATGTGCCCCACGTTTCATATTACAAATGGCATATTACATATACATTCTTATGCCTGCTTTTTCAACTTCATTCTCATTCTGCCTTTTGTTCCTCCATTCACTTACACTGCCTTTCAGCCACTTATATTCACCCATACTGGGCCTCATATTATCACAATTCCCCACAGTCTACTTAGCATTACCCAAATTCTCTCATGTCATATTCCTTATTCACCCCACTCACTCTCGCTCAGACTCATTTCCTTTCCTATATTTATCTCTATTTCCCACCCCTGCATCAAATGACTCTGGCTTACTCGCACGTGGCCCAGCCTTCAGCTTCTTTCATTGACCCGGGGCCTCATTATTTCCCCCATTCATTCCCTTTCTGCCCCTCCTTCACCTCTATTCTCTCAGATGCTGTCCCAGGAACACCCCCATTTCCTGGAGCTCTGTCCCTATTACTCCCAAACACTAGGTGAAGTTACCCACATATACTTAGCCTACGCTTGGTCACTGTTCTTTCTCAGTTTTCTCTTCATTGCCTCCATTTACTCTCACTCTGCCTCTCACTGCCTCATTCATTTAAATCTATTCCCATTGTAACCCCTATCACCCTCTTCTTGCTCATATTCTGCCTCCCAGTACCCACATTCTGTCACACTGTGCCTCAAATTCGTTACTTTTGCTCACATCGGGCTCCCCATGTTTCCTTGCTTTACTCACCCAAGTAAAGGTGAGTTCCACTCTCTGCCTCGCAATACCCACCTTCACCCATCCTCTGCTCTTCACTTTCATTCCCTCTCACTCTGCCCAACATCACCTCCATTCATGCGCGCTCTTCAGCTCATTCATATTTGCCGATTCCCACTGGGATCCCTGTACACCCACGTTCCTGGGCTACTACCCTGTATTACGCCCATCTAATCCCAGTCATCTCTAGTCACCCTTCTCCCTCATAGCACCCGCACTCAAACTCGGCCTGCTTCACATTCTACCATGTCTCCATCTCCACTCTTTTATTCTGTCCTTCCCGCACCCCATTCTTCCCTTTCCATCCCACATTACCCACATTCACTCCTACTGTCTCCCTAAATTCCCCTCTCTTCATTCATCTTGTGCCTCATAAAACCACCATTCATTCACACTCTAATCCTTAGTACTCATATAAACTCCACTCACATTCACCCCCTTCAGTTGCCCCATTCAGAGTCTGTTCCCACTTTCACTTTTTTTCCGCTGAGACTGTGCCTTATTTCCCAGCATTTACTTAATCTCATCATAATCTCATATTCATTCATAATTGATGCATGCATAGTCATTCCCTCACTTTGGCCCACATCCACTCCACTCTGGTGTTCATTCACCTCCATTCCATTGCCCTTTGCCTCTCCTTGCTCTCATTTACTCCCAGTTTGCCCTTCAGTCACCATTATTCATGCTCCTCACCCACCAGTCCCATGTGTCTCCTGTTCGCTGACACTCACATTGGCCAACACAGAAAAGTCTGATGGATTGCACAGGATTTGATTTGGCTGCACGCACCAATCCCACCACAAACACCAGTGGCTTCAAGAGGAGGGAAGCAGACTCCTCTTTTGGAGGCAGGTAATCCAGGGCTAGTGTGGTGGCTCCAAGGTCACCAGAGACCTGGCTCCTTTTGTGCTGTTGCTCTGTCAACCTCACCTGCTGCCTCTGGTCCAAAATGACTGCTCACAATTGGCAAGGCTTTTGTGGTCTTGATAAAATGTATCTTAAGAGCAATTGTAATGATAACTCGCCAGCCACGTGGGGGCTTCTCTCATTGTCTTTCAATGGGAATGTCATATCATGCAGACTCTGTGGTGGGACCAGCCACCTGTCAGCTTCTCACTCTCCTTCACCTAGCTACCTGCTGCTTAGGTTACTGTATGAGGAGGTCATACCTGTAGGGACTGATGGTAGAGGTTACCCAGGACAGACAGTGGGGGTCCTTACTCTGCAGCAGCAAAGTTAGCCTCACATAGCTTGTGCATGCACACCGTGGGCCCTGGGATAGTTTCTGAGGGGCTGTATCACTGGCTCCTCTGCCCCCCAACTCCCACCAACCCTAAAGGATTTCCTCCTTTGTGCAGGTGTGTGTGTACAAGGTGGTTGGAGATGACGTTTAGGTGCTAGAAGGGGTGACACTGTGATGAGCCCTAAAGGACCAGTCCTTTCTATTTTCTACCTCCTAATGCATTGAGAGAGTGGATAACTTGTATACCCAGGAGGTGCTGCTGTGTCAGGGAGCAAGAGATGTGAGTTCCTTTTTTACTTTCTTTCTTTGTCTTGTCTGCTGGGAAGCTCCATTCCTTTTTGTTGTTGTTTTTTTGTTTTTGAGATGGAGTCTCACTGTGTTGCCCAGGCTGGAGTGCTGTGGTGTGATCATGGCTCACTGCAACCTCTTCTTCCCGAGTTCAAGTGATTCTCCTGCCTCAGCCTCCTGAGTAGATAGGATCACAGGCGCGCTACCAAGCCCGGCTAATTTTTGGTATTTTTAGTAGAGACGGGGTTTCACCATGTTGGCCAGGCTGGTCTTGAACTCCTGACCTCAGGTGATCCGCCTACCTCGGCCTCCCAAAGTGCTGAGATTACAGGCACGTGCCACCTCACCCAGCCCAATATATGTGTATTTTTAACGTTACTATATAATGTTAGATTGCTTCAGACTGGTCTTTACAAATCGGATCTTTTTTATGGTTTCCTATATGTCCAGAATGAAATATGAGCTCCCTGGCCAAGGAGGCCCTACAGCACCTGGCCCCAGCCTACACCTCCTACACTCCCAACACACTGACACTGTCTACTCATCCAGAAAAAGCAACCTGTTAGCCACCACTTAATACACCCCTTCACCCCTGGTGTGTGTGTCCCATATCGCCGTTTACTTTTCAGCTTGTCTGCATACCGACCTACCGTCCTTCAAATGCTACAACGTAAACTCTTTGTGCACGCAGAGCAATTTAGCCACAGACCCCGCCGTCCCGTTCTTTTACACCTGCAACCCTGTTGCTGCCCTCAAAGTTCAAAGTGCGAAATTGCCGCCTGCTAGAATCTTTTCCTTAGTTGGGCACTTCCCCTCCCCGCCTTGCCGTAAGAAAATTGGTGTCTGAAGTCTTAGGAGTACCGGCCTCTGCAGAACTAAGTAAACACCCGCTCTGCGACGCAGCCCCAGAAGCAAAAAGACACGGTGAGTGCGGCCCTCTAGCCTGGAGGAGTGACGTCACCGGCAAGACTACCTTCCCTCTGCGCCTGCGCTGCGGCCCCATGTTGACTATTGGCGGACGGGGTCTCAAAGGCGCCACTGAGCGTGCGCAGAACCGACCACTGCAGCCCTTTAGGCTGCGGTGCCAAAGAGTCGGTCCCGAAGCGGAAGTACTTGTTGGGGCCGGGCTTTGTAACGGTCTCCTGAGCAGCGAGCAGAAAATCTGTTATCCAGAGAGTGAGGTTGAGGGGGCAAGTGCTAGGGGTCGTGGGCCGAGTGATGGGGAGTTCTGCGGGATGAGTAAAGAGGGAGTTGGGGGTTGAGTGATGGGGGACCGAGAGGTCAGTGGACGAGGTTCTAGGGGCTCGCTGGTGAACAAAGTTATGGGGGCTAAGCAGGATTGAATGGGGCTTATTAAACTTTGACTTTTACACATTTTCCAGCACAGTGACCTGCCCCTAAGGGTTCATGCCCATCCCTCAGGCCCCTCTTTAGACGCGCCCCGCTCCTCTCTCTGCTCTATCCCCTTGCCCAAGCCCCGAGGTGGGGACCTGGTGTGAATGCTCCGGCCGAAGTGAACCTGCACCCCCGCACCCGAAGGCCTCTTTCCGGCTCCTGGGCAAGGCGGCCCCGGTGAGGTGAGCAGAAGGAAGGAGAGGCACCTGCGAGGTCTCACCTGACCCCGGGCCTCGCCCAGAGTTGGGGACCTGGGAGGAGGGGTAGGTGCGGGGTCTGAGGGAGATGGGGGTAAAATGTAATTGGGACAATAGTTTTAGAGTGTGGTTTTTTTGGCATTTAATAAATAACATTTGAAGTATAGATTAATTCAGAAATAGAGGAAAAGAAAATCAAAAGGAGCTAATTCTTCCCCCACACATTTAAATGTCCGTTTTTAGACCTTTTTGGTGTGTATAGGGGTATGACTTTTAAACATTTAACATATAGCTTTAAAATGGATTCCCACAGTTTTAAAACCTACTTTGTTTTCATATAAAAGTTTAATGTAATTCAGCTTAAGATTTTTTTGTACACCTTTAAGAAACGTTTAGTTGAGATATATGTACCACAAAGTGCATAGATACTGTACAACTCCATGTAACGCTTTTAACAGCTGTGTAGCATTTTGTCTTTTATATTTTGTCATTATTAATCCCTTATGTGTCATAGAGGATCGTTTAAGTTTGGCATTATTAAAAGCAATGCTGAGACGTGGGTACGTACAGAGAAATTATGATACATTATGATAAATTATTTCCTTAAGGAAAATACCTAGAAATACACTTTATAGGTCAGTACACAATTTAAGATATGTGTATATAAAACCTTTTGTGTTCAATGTTCGCATGAAGAGTGAATAATACATAGATTGTTAAAATCACATGGTTGCCCAGACTCTTCCAGAGAGCAGTCTGATGGCCAGCTGATGTGAGGGGATTGCTAGGCAGCTAATTCTGGGCACTGAAAGTCTGATGGGGTCTCCTCATCTGCTCTACTCTTCTCCATTTGTTCCAGCTCAGCCGTTACATGCACATATCTGCTTTTTCCCAAGAAGAGCAGGAAATGGCCAAACCCCAGGTAAGTATGTTGTCTGTTTCTTCATTCCTGTTTTACTGTGGATGTAGCGAAATACGTGGAGATCCCTGCCATAAAATAGGAAAGTATTTGTAAATAAGGATTAGGATTAGACAAAATAAGAGACAACAGATCAAGGCCAAGTTAGAATGTAGAGGTGTGCAGGACTCAGGGTATTAACAGATATTGATGTTGGGCTGTCAGTTCCTCTTTGAGCCTTCTGGTAGCCAAAGGAAACATAAGCAGTACCTTGGCTCACCTTACTCATCAGGAGAGAGCACACAGCCTTCATGGGAAGTCAAGGTTGCCTGGAATTGTGTTTAAAGGTATTTCTTTGCTGGGTCTTCATGTGGATAGTGCAGTTGCCCTCATCCACAGCCTGGTGACAAATGCTTTCCTGCAGATAATGTCCTATAGCTTTCCTCAGTGAGCTGGAGATATCACATCAAAATGTAACTTGGGAATGAAATCTCTTAGGGAACCTGCTTGTCTTTCCAATGATTTTCCTGAAGCAGTTTTCTTAGTTGGACTTTGAATTATCTTTTGTCCAAGAGACAAAAATTTTTCAGATACCTGCAACCCACCGTATTTTTTCTTTCACTTTAAACATTTTTATTTTTTAAATTAACATACAGTGAAATTGATTTTTCTGTTAGATTGGTGTAACTAATCTATAGGACAGATAATAGTTTCATCACCCCAAAAAACTCCTTCATGCTACTCTGTTAATAGTCATATCTTCCCCAACCTGTAACCTCAGGAAGTGGCAGGTCTGTTCTGTGTCACTATAGTTTTGTCTTTTCAAGAATGTCATATAAGTGGGGTATCATGTATTATGTAACCTTTTCTTTCTGAGATGATTGATTTACATGCAATTGAAAGAATAATACAGAGAAATCCTGTGTACTTTTTTCCTAGATTCCCCCAATGATAACATCCTGCAAAAACCATAGTACAATATCAAAGTCAGGATGTTGACACTGATATGGTCAAGCCCCATCATCACAAGGATCCCTCAAGTTGTCCCTTACGGCCATAGCCACTACCCTTCCTCCACCATACCCATTCCTAAACTCTTGGCAGCTACAAATCTGTTTTCCGTTTTGGGAATTTTGTCATTTCAAGAATGTAATAGAAATGGATCGTATGGTATGTGACCTTTTGGGATTTTTTTGTGTTTGTTTGTTTGTTTCCACTCAGCACAATTCCCTGGAGATTCATCAAAGTTGTGTGTGTCAGTAGTTGTTTCTTTGTTACTGCTGAATAGTAGTCCATGGTATAAATGTTCCCCAGTGTATTTATCCATTCTCCTGTTGAAAGACATTTGGGTTATTTCCAGTTTTTGGCAATTATGAGTAGAGCTACTTTAAACAATCTTGCACAGGGCTTTGTGTGAACATAGGTTTTCATTTCTGCGAAGTAAATATTGGATTACTGGGTCATATGGTAAGTGTATGTTTAACTTTTTAGGAATCTGCCAAATTATTTTCTAGAGCGGTTGAACCATTTTTCATTTCTCCCAGCAATGTATGAGTTCCAATTGTTTCATATTTTTGTCAGTACTTGGTATTGTCAGTATTTTTTATGTAGTCGTTTATCTCATAATGATTTTAATTTGCATTTCCTTAATGGTTAAAGATGTTAAGCATCTTTATATATGCTTATTTACTTTTGGTCTATCCTCTTGATGAATGTCTGTTCAAAAGTTTGTGCCCATTTTTCAACTGGGTTTTCTTGCTGTTGAGTTTTGAGAGTTCTTTATATATCCTTTATACAGGTCCTTTGTCAGATACACGGTTCGCAAATGCTTTCTCCAAGTGTATTGCTTGTCCTTTTCTTCTCATACGTTGTTGTTTGCAGAGCAAAACTTTTTAATTTGGAAAATTTCCAATTTATGAATCATTTATTTATGGATCATGCCCTTGGTGTCATGTCTAAGAACTTTGCCTAACACTAGGTCATGAAGATTTTCTCCTATTCTATAATTTTATAGTTTTAGATTTTACATTCAGATAGATGATTCCTTTTGCATTAATTTTTTTTTTTTTTTGAGATGGAGTCTCACTGTATTGCCCAGGCTAGAGTGCAGCAGCGCCATCTCGGCTCACTGCAACCTCCACCTCCTGGGTTCAAGTGATAAGAATCACTTGCCTCAGCCTCCCGAGTAGCTGGGACTACAGGCATGCACCACCACACCTGGCTAATTTTTATATTCTTAGTAGAGTCGGGGTTTCACCATGTTGGCCAGGCTGGTCTCGAACTCCTGACCTCAGGTGATCCACCCGCCTTGGCCTCCCAAAGTGGTGGGATTACAGGCATGAGCCACTGCGCCTGGCCCTTTTGCATTAATTTTTGTGTAAGGTGTGAGGATTAGGTCAGGGTTCATTTTGCATATGGATTTCTAATTGTTCTAACCCCAATTGTTAATAATTTTTTTTTGCTTTTATTATTTTATTATTTAATTTTTATTTTATTTTATTTTATTTTTTTGAGACGGAGTCTCGCTCTGTCACCCAGGCTGGAGTGCAGTGGTGCGATCTCAGCTCGCTGCAAGCTCCGCCTCCTGGGTTCACACCATTC